AAAATCATTCTTTCCATATGTATAAAGATTATCGAACGGTGTGCTCATATCGCAAATATTAAGATTAATTCGCGTTTAATGCACAGTTAAGACGTCGGAATTTCTGCGGTTAATTTGGAATAATCAAAGGGTACCGCTCGATCTGACTAATTGGACTAATTTGCAATTTGAGACGGTCCGAGATGAAGGTAACGCTGTGTTAGCTCAGCTTGATTAATAGGCAGCGGCTGCCAGCGCCGGGAAATCGCTCTGTGTTCCTGATTTGCGTCACTTATCGATTCCTAAGTGACCTAACGATGTAACGAGACGACATAATGAAAGATCGAGGCGATCTTTACGATCTGCAGTAATTGCGAACTCTGCGCAAAGCATCGCCAGCCCGATGTTACACAAACAAATTTAATTAACGGAATCTCGAATCTCGCATAATTATGGAATAAGACCGTAAACATATTTACGATATATACGATATTTGCGATATCCTGGCGATAATCCGTTGCTTCTTTTGCAAACGTATGAAATTTGTTGTGTTTTTTTTTTTATCTCGTGTAAAAATGTTCAAAATGTAGGGCGTCGGCTCTCGTCGTTGTCGCGGTTGTTCAACTCCGGAATAAAAACCATTTTTGACGCGCTGCGCATGCCAAGAAATTACGACGTTGTGCAATGAATCGCGCAGGAAAAAAAACACATCCGTGCTTTCGCCAAAATTTGCCCGGTTTCCACGAAGTGTTTTTAATCTTCGGCCGCTCGTAAATTCACTCCGCCGGTCTCCTCCGACGACAATTCGGGGACGACAGATCCGATCGGGCGTCGCGGTAAACGGATTAATAATAGCGGGACGAGCGAAATGACAGGCCGCGTTTCTCGCGTGTCCCGAAACGGGAGATCATTTTTCACGATCTCATTTCTATCGACTTCGCGAGAGCGAGGTGGCGGCGGCGAAAAATAAAGATTTCGTCCTTCTCACGATTCTCAGATGCAGCATGCATCACGTCAATGGTGTTTTCGCAGCAGTATCGCGGACTTCTTTGCTTCGGGCACGTCGGAATGCTTGTAAATCGTTCCGTAATCGATGAGTTATGATTCACGGCTAATAAATAGAGAGAGAGAGAGAGAGAGAGAAGGAGAGGAGGAATCGATCGATACTTGCCTCTTTAGCGAGCCGGAGCGAAACTGATTATCAACGGCACGGTGCGAGTTTGGCAACATTAATTTCGATGCGCCCGCTCCCTCCCTGTCTCCCTCTATTTTGCTCTCTTTCTTGATGTTGCTGTTATACATATATTACGCGCTCCTTATGACATGCGACATAAGTTATGTCTCGTAGAGGAGTATAACAGGATGGAAAAAAATTGACGCATTAAGTGGTTAAAAAAAAGGTCGGTGCGCGCGCTCGCGACGGTACGTAATTTGGGGGGTGTTTTAGCGCGCTCGAGAGAGCCGCGGGTGCGGCAATAATGGACGATAATGGATTATCGGCGATAAATAATCATAACGAGAGATTTATTATTTATAATCTGAGTGGGTCTTCGCATGCGCATCCGAAACGATTAACAATGCCGAGTATATCAAGGGCGACGTACCAAAGAATGATGAACGGTTATTACCGATAAATATCATAGCGCAGTGCAGTTTAAGCCGGCTCATGTTTTAAATCCATCGAATTTGCCCGATCGAAAATTGGGAACGCCGTACATAAGGTAATTAGTATACAGACGCAAAATGATGTTACTCGAAGGATGAAAAAGAGAGATCTATAACTTGAGAATCACAGAAGTTATAAATCAGAATCAATGACGTAGAATCTCTATTTGCACAAAGGGGAGGTTTAGCTGAAAGCTTATATCTGCTACCGTTCGAATGAATAATCTCGTGACATTTTCAATGCCGCCTTTGAAAGCCAAGCCTCCAAAGCGATAATCCTGATTAATATCCTTTGAATCACGTTTCACGACTGACGAACAAAGGTGTCATTGAACTTAGCCATTCGGTGTATTATTTACGGATCTATTATTTTTTTCAGGCACGCCGCGATGACGCGCTCGCACAGCGCATTTACGCCACGATCGCCTTTAGCCTCACGCGATTGAAACGCTCCGCGTTATTCGCGTACGAGGCGCCGAGATCTATTTTAGATACAGATTTCGCGGAGCTTACAAATCACACGGGCTTATCTTTTTCCAAGGCTCATTCAATCTCTCGAGGCTCTCGGGCCGCCCCAATCGTTATCGGCGGACAAGTAAGACGGATTGCCCGGGCAGGAAAGCGACCCGCGGCGAAAAGAAGTCGCCAGCACATGCGTCGAGCGGGCCGCGCTTACTTAATACCGCGCCGCGTGCATAGCAGCCGATTTAGAAACGCGACGGACAGACGGTTCACTCGAACAGCTGGAGCAATCATTTCCGATGACGCGGTTCGAATTGGAAGCGGTACGCTCGCGCGCCGACAAATCCGCTCGACCGCCAGATGAGGAAGGCTCCGGCACCGGCTCCAGCATGCGGATTTATTCACCGCGTTCTTCTACCGTTCAAAGTCGTCTCAAGATCGTCCTTGCACTTGCGATAAGAAAGAGGAGTCCAATAGCGCGAGCAGATTAAACGTCTTCCTGTCTTCCGGCGGACAGGCTCGACCTCGCGCGGCGCGTATTTCGCACGCGCGAGACGTTCCGTAACTTGAAACGGTATCAAAGCTTTATGTAGGTTCGACGTTGCGGTATTTGCATTCTTTAAATATCCGAGATTTCATACCCCGCGGGTTAATATCTCGTTATCGTTTGGATAAGTGTCTGCTGTTTGTACAGAAGTCGACTTGGTGTGTCGAGGGTGACTTATGGAAACGGCAGGGGCACGTCGTTTATTCGTGTGCTGTTGTTTGTAGTACGAATCTTACAGTCCCATGTAACAAGTTTCTCGACCTTTCGATAACGATTTCTATCTCTACTTTGTCTAGTTTATCCGGTCTGATTCACGCATAAAAAAAAATGTGAATGATTATCTGAAATATACAGCGCGATGTCAATCGACTATTGAAAGAGTATGTCGAACACGAAAAGGATACTTTTGTTGGAAAATTTAAAAATTTGGCTAGACACAGATTTGAAAATATAATTTTATTATATAAAATATTTTATACTTTCAAATTATTATGTAAAACATTTAAATTGATTGTTAGAAGATAAAAAATATTTATAATTTTCTTATCACATTTAAACATCTCATATAATAATTCAATAAAATTATTTTCAGATCTGATTAAACTTTTTAAAATTTACGAACAAAACTCTTCTCTTCGTGAATATATTAAAGAACTAAATCATTTCGAGCATTACTCTAATATTATTAGCAGCGAATTGTTAAGACATGATTATTATAGTTTCAGTCAACATAAGTAATTTTGTGCACGATAAATAATATTTATGATACGCAACAATTGCAATTTTATAAAACCGCCGCTAACAAATACATCTGACAACGTGTGCACACGTGGTTCAACGGCACAAAATTACTAAAAATATATATTTATGTTCGAAGAAATATATTCCTCGTGTTGCGGATTTCATTACTGAAATAAATTATCACAAATTTATCGGCAAAAAAAAAATGTCGATTCCGAGTCGCCGAGAAGCAAGTCCCGCTTGTAAATTATAATGAGCTCTAACACATACCCGGCAATTCATCAGCAACCCCGGCAGCGCACGCGATGGTACCGTTCTGTGTTGTGTTTGCGTTCCTACCCCTCGCCTCACCCTCGACCTCCATCATTCCTATAATTACGTCCGTTCACGCTATATTGAACAGTGTAAAAGGGAGTTCCCATTATAAGTGCGATATTCACTTAAGTCAATTCCCAAAAATTATTTGAGACCTGCAAATGGGGAAAAATCGATCGATCGATCGGCGATGACGACGGGGGAGACGAACGCGGGGCGGAGGCGGAAGGCAAAGTACAGAGGAACGGAAATTATTCAAATTCCCCTGAAACGGCAGTTTAATAGCGTGATGTTCCTCACGCACGTACATGCGTGATGTTCCTATACGCATATACGTAAACATTAAAGCCCCCCCCGAAATTGCATTGGCCGAACAGGACACGCCATTTTTGCGTGGCCTCACCTCTGTCTACGGCGACCAATCGCGACCGGCAGCTTAAAAACGGTACCCGAGAGGTACCGGCTTGATGTCGACAGACGGAGAGGGAGAGAAAGATACACTTCCGGGGAGGCTACATCTGGTACATCTTGGCCGATACCATACGACGACCACCTATCGCGGACGATATTTCGATTACTGGTCTGGGCTGCGTGAAAATTAATGACGGTGTAATAAATAATATATCGCTGTATTATTATTAATATCGCGGGAAAAGAGGGCACAATCAGCGACAAGACCGTAATCATACATCCCCTGATTTTTTTACTGGCTCGAGATAATTATATATATTCGACAGTGAGGAGAGATTGAACCACTGCCGACGTGCAATTCCGATCGTATTTTTATGATAATATTTCATTACGTGCGCAAAAAGGGACGCGTAAGGGACTTCGTTACGTCTCTACTTTGTCTCTCTCCGGTACCTAAATTCCAACATTAATTGATATTATTATTGTTTCTCTTTCATAGGATCAAGGCAAATAATATTACGTACTCCTGCTCTCGGCAACGGTAAAACAGGAGCGACGATAATTCGCGAGAGGAACAGTCCGCGAGAGGCGCGTAATTACGCGAGTACCGTCGGCCAGCGTGTTCAGGATTGATCGCGGCGATGAATACCGCTGTGATTCACAGCGACGAGCTAAATACGGGAGAATGAGCCGTATAAATCCGCGTCCGCGGCGCGAACGCTCTTGCTGCTTGATTTAGACCAGCTGGCAGGAGGATGTAACGGAAGGCGCAGTCGGAAATCATTAATGTCCGACGACTAAACGTTCGCGCGGTGACTCGTCGCTCCGCGCGGTAGATGACTTCATAATTCATAATGAAGGAATTTTGCGGAAACGTTACCGTGGATGTCGTTGACGCATATGTGAAGATCCTCTCGGAAGATAGGCAAATCGAAGTTGCACTGGCACGTGCAGGAACTGTTTGGCACAAGCAGGCTCGAGCTCGAGGAACCGCGGGAGTAAGGACTGGCGGTACCACTGCTGAGCACCGTACAAGCTTCCGTACAAGAACCTGCAACAAATTTCATAGCAATATTATGTTTAGCAATATAATAAGATTAAATCACTTTGTTAATTCAAATAAAAATTCGATTGAAATAAGGCTCCTCGAGTGTATTCATTTATACATAGAAAAAGAATTAATCTTGAATAAAAAAAAATATTCTCATATATATATAAGCAAGAATATTGCGAACATCTTAACATTTTTAGTCTTGATTGGATTAAATTAATATTTTACTCCACTCAAAATTAAAAATCTCTTCTAACGATCTTTATAACTGTTTTTGCTTTAATGTATGTAAGAATATCTATACTTGCGTTAATACAAAAATTTTTCTAAGAAAATTATAATAAGTTTGCTTATATATAATCTTAAAATATATTATAATCTTGATTTAAGACTAATTTTTGTGTAAAATATATTCGATTTTAAATACATCAAGTATATATTAATTTATATTTTTACACATTTTAATATTGGATTTATTATTATATATCAATTACAATACTTTATCATACTAATAACATCCAGTACACAAAATAATTTTCTTCAAGTGTATCTATTCACAAAATACTTCAAATATCGATTTGTATTTTAATATATTTTAGTATTTTAGATATTATCTATAATACTTTATCGCATTAACTGATTTAAAACAAGTTCCGAAGCTTCCGAAGGCAAAATAATTTTCTTTACCACTTGTAAAATCATTCAAGTATAATCAATTTATATTTTAATATGTTTTAGTATCAGACATTTTATTATCTACCATATCGTTTATTGATTAAACGTTACAACTATATCTTCGTGTTCTTATCTTATCCAACTGCAGTTTCGCTGTTTTTTATTAATACTTTATCCATGTCATTAAAATACATCGTTAAAATCGAATATATTTTACACAAAAATTAGTCTTAAATCAAGATTATACATTTTCATATATAAGCAAGCTTATTATAATTTTCTTAGAAAAATTTTTGTATTAATGCAAGTATAGATATTCTTACATATATACATACGTACATATGATAATTAACGGTTAATTAACCAATCTCTCGGTAAATCAATAACTCGCTCGTGTGCCAAACGTGTTTCGCGGGGATCCCTCGGTAATGCGAGGCTTTCGAAAATGTGATGTACAGTCCGTCGGTTGAAATTCACGTGGTCCGATATCCTCAGGACGTGCCGTATAAGCCAGCCGAGCAAGGACAGGTCGGACAGCTGTCAAACCGTTACATCGTAATTTCACGGTTAATCCGTTACGAACGTCTTTTTTTTTCATTTCACGCAGCGGTTGTGTCATGATTTCGTGTAAAATCGTCCTGGAACACGTTCGGTTACTCTCGAATCGCGAATCATCTTGCTTCCGCGCACGCGGAAAATCACGCGGGGGAATTCGCGCCGTATCACCGACGCGAATCGCGCCTTACGGGCGCGCTTCTCGAATCAGACCGCCGAAATAACGCCCGTCATTTCCGTGAGACGCAGAAGAAATCAAACAAATAAGTATTAAGGCCTCGGGATGAAAAACGTGAGGCACGAATGAAAATTTCCGCTTTGAGGTAAAATTGCGCCGCCACAGTTTTCAACGTCGGCAATACTTTCAGCCGTCGTCCCGAATCGCTGCCAATTCATCAAAGTAGTTTTAGATCTCTCTCCATAGATTATGATAATGTAACGGTAATGATTACAGAATATATTTACCTTCGATGGTAAAAATGTCTCCATCGGAGTGCCGGATGACCGATAATTCCTGACAGCGGACGAGGACTTGCAGGAGGTTGAAGCTCGTGAGAACGAGAGCTAGAGGACGCATCTTCCCCACAGCATTCTGTAATGCGCAAACAGATGTAGATTGTAAATAACCGAGGAACAGATTGAGAGGAAGAGAAAGCAGAGAGAGAGAGAGAGAGAGAGAGAGAGAGAGAGAGAGAGAGAAGAG